TTGTGACGGTGTCCCTGTCATGTTTTGATGGTGTGCCGGTCATGTTGTGATGGTGTCCCGGTTATGTTGTGATGGTGTCCCGGTCGTGTTGTAACAGTGTCCCGGTCATGTTTTGATGGTGTGCCGGTCATGTTGTGATGGTGTGCCGGTCATGTTTTGATGGTGTCTCGGTCATGTTGTGATGGTGTCCCGGTCATGTTTGATGGTGTCCCGGTCGTGTTGTGACGTTGCCCTGGTCATGTTTTGATGGTGTCCCGATCATGTGATGGTGGCGCGGTCATGTTGTGATGGTGTCCCGATCATGTTTTGATTGTGTCCCAGTCATGTTGTGACGGTGTCTCGGTCATGTTTGATGGTGCCCTGGCCATTTTGTGATGGTGTCCCGGTTATGTGATGATGGTGTCCAAGGAAGAGATGGTCGATGTGTTGAAAACAGCAGTTGTTTCCAGATTTTTCTTTTTGTACCGGTGTGTATCTTGCTATTGGGGTCTCCTGCTGGGCTAATTTCATATTAGCACCTGATGAACCTCTTCTGAATGTTTTCAGATAGAGGGAAAATTTGGAACCATTGAATCTCAAGGACCTGCAATTCCATTTCTTCAGTCTTTCGCTCAATCACCGCATTGATCTCATAACGAGAACAACCGAAATGAGGTACTTCAGATGGTTCCATTTCAAGTGAAAGGCGTCAGTTTCGACCAACGCATTGAAGTGATTAGCCTGTGGAAGTGAATCAAATTGTTCCATCTTCTTCATCGAATGGTCGGCACAAATGTCGCAACGATAGCTCCTGACACATTTGATGATCTCATCAGCAAAATTAGCATCAATCAAGGAATTCCCCTTTCGTTCACGACCAGGATATCCAAATTATTTGTGCAATTTGACGACCACTTGAAATATTCTCTTCTCATGAGTCTTGGCATATTGAAGATCATTGGATATGATGTGTTTTTCTTTTCTTATTCTTCCTTCAGAAATCCTTCCGCGACGCAGATCTTTGATACCTCACATATTCCCCATTGGTCTTCCATATCTATATAGGTGGCGTTGGTAGTCTTCTTGACAAATTGAGCCTCATAATTTTGCATTTATTTCAATTCTTTTGATTTGCCCTCCATTTTCATATGCGTTCCAGGAACGTAGTTGTATTTGAGGTTCAAGGCTTCATAAATATAGGGATTGTTGATTCGGATTCGAATTGATTTCCGATCCTTTCCAAGGCATTCGCCGTGGTTGTTGTAATAAACCAGTCCGGTTTAGCATCGATCACACATTGCATCCATGCCATCCATAGATTGCGAGGTCATAATTGTTGACGAGGTTGTTCCGTGCGGGCGCTCAACAATGAATCCTCCATTAAATTCATCCTCCATGATGGCCGAGATATTCTTGACCATATCGAAATGGGATTGTTCTTTACTTGTTTGCAGCATTTTCAATCTTTCAAAGGCATTTGGTCGAATCATGTTAAGATGCTGTATGGTTGACCTTTTGTGTAAAGAAGTGAATACCAAATAAAATGATGTTGTATTTCCGGAATAAATCGGAAGAAATCATTTCGTATTGGATCCAAGGAAAAATCCCAGTGCGGCAGATTGAACACAGAGAGTTCGATATCTGGGCATTTGACCAAATATGCGAAGATGTCACCTTCGTCCACATACACTTCAAAAAGGATAAATGTTCGTCCTTCATGAAAATGTCCGATGATTTGTTTTGTGATCTTTTCCAGCTCTTGTGGTTCAATCTCAAAGCCGACGTTCTCCACGGCGTTGACGGCCTCATAATCGATAATGGCTTCAATGTCAAAGGTTTGCATGTATTCTTCATTCCCTTCGGAGATATTCAATATTATGTCATCGGATTCAATATTGCCATTATAATGCAGGAGGTTGATCAAGTAGTGGCCTTTCTTTCCTCGTTTTGGCTTGAACCATTCGGAATTTTCGATCTTCAAGGTTCCTTTGGCGAAATCTTATTATATCATCCATATTTCCAAATTAAATATGTCAAGAGGAAAGATGTTAGACCTGGCCTCACCATAACATGCAACTTGCAATCATATGCAGATGCCAAAATTTCTCCCCACTAAAGCGAAAGATTCTCCTTATTAACATTTAATATCGCAAAATCTTTTCGTCAAAATATTCGATCCATTTTGACGAACTATCTTCACCAACCAAAGTGCGGGTTGCATCAGGGTCGATGATGGCATAACCAACGTCCATAATATTGAAGAATTTTTCATTTTGTGGGATCTCCTCGACATCCTTTAGAGATTCAAATATCGTGATATCCTAGAATACAAGCTAGATCGTAAGAATCCCACGATATTCCATCTACATTTGGGTCGCTCACAAATAACAATGAAAAATATATATTGCCGATATAAAGAATACATTCATGCAAACAATATCCATAAAACAAAATACGCTACATAGTAATATGCCTAAAGCGCAAAATCTAGAAAACCCATAAAACCGGCCTTCGGAAATATTAGAACATATTGCTAATAAAAACAGAGGTTAAAATCTTTCGATATATATATTATATATATATTTGCGTCCAAAAAAAATTATCAATAATTGTTATTTCTTATTATTTCATATCATGTAAAATTATAATTCAATTTTTGTTTTAAATTTATCGTCTATATTAATAATTATATATAAACATTTAATAATTTATATATTCACCGATCAATTTTTCAATTTAATATCGTCCCTACGATTTTTTTGCTAGTTACCTTCATTTGTTTGTAATCCAAGAAATTAAATGTTGGATTCAAAAATTTCGGAATTTATACAAATAGAATAGTTTTTATAAAATCAAAAATATAATATCAAATCCTTCTCGATATCCTTATTTAACCTATAAATCAAATCGCGCGATTATCAAGCAAAATTATAGAAAATAATATATAAATAATCCATTCGAATCCAAAAGTGCGATTCATTATCAAATAGTCCGATTATATTCGGATAATCGTCAATTATCGATAAACACAATAAATAATTGTTCAAATTCGATAATCGTCCCATAGGGCCCAAAAACATTTTCATTACACGGCGAATAGTTATTCAAACCCTAATGCCTTCGAATATCCATCCTCCATAGCCTTTTCCTTTCGCGTTTACTGGGCCCCGAGAAGCCCTCGGTTCGAGTCGGTCATGCAAGAAAAGCGTCCCTATCTGCTATGGTAGTCCGGCTGAACAACAGCCGGCTCCTCAACGGCCCCCACTTCGTGGAGGTCATGAAACTCGCGAGGCAATTCGCGATCGCACTGGACCGGATTCAACCTCGCCACATATGAGTGGAACGCTTCAGCCAGCGCGATGTTCAAACCGGCTGGGTAGACTTTCGCACGCGCTGTGCGGAAACTAGCCCCCTCTCGCCCCACAAGGCTCACATGAGCTCCTGGACCATGATGACATCGGCCATGTAGCCCAGTTTGCAGTGTGATCTCGCGGAAAAAAGGGAGCCGCACCAGGAGGAGCGTTGTAGGCTTAACCCCTCCTGCCCCATAGATGCATTGATCGAAGGACACAACGTTGACTGCCTCGCAAGATGCCAGCACCTGCATCACTTCCAGCGTCCAAATCGAAGGGCACGGCGTGCCCTTCATCCACCTCGGGTACTCCGGGTGCTCCAAGAACCCGCAACCTCCAACATAGGTACAAAGAAGCAGCAGCTCGATGGCCACCTGAAGCAAGCCGGTGCCTACCATCACTTGTTCGCGCTGCCTCCTCGAGATCCAAGGCAGACCCCAAGGTATATTTTTGTCCCGCAGCGGGGGGGGCCCCCGCCCATCCAACGCGCAACTGACCAGGTCTCGCAGGGGGGCCCCCCCTACTCCGCAAACTTGGCCAGCTAGGATGCGGACACGCCACCACTCGATGCGCTCGCGGTCAAGTAAGTCGCCTGCAGAACCCTGCAAACACAGATCTATGCTCAAACAAAAGCACTGCACTGTGCCGACCCACTTGTGATGCTCGATCTGGTGCTGCAAGTCTGTGGCTCTGCGATGCCCTGAAAAAAGGTGAACAAAAATTTTGCATCGGACAGCAACTCTAGCATACCAAACAGACAAGGACGTTGCAGCAAAAGCTCCCCCTGCTCCAACTTGGTGCCCTTTAGCTTGCCCAGAAACGATTTTCTCAACAGCAAGGCTAGGCTCAGCCAGCTGCTGCTCTTCTTGCCTCACCAAGGTCCCTCCCACATGATACCAGGGCTTGACAGCTGGCTCACCGCTACTGCAAGCTGCTCGAATGGCCCGAGCTTCCGGGCTGTCGGAGGGAGGGAGCTGAACAAAGGGAACCCTACAGGCTGGCAAATGCGCCTTCTTCAGGCTCCAACCCTGCAGCTTCAAATCAGCGGCTTTGTCTCGGTCAATTTGGTCGAGCTCTTCAACCAACGCTAACGGCAGTGGCTCAAAAAGGGCTTCAAGCTTGTCAGCGCAATCCCTGGAATAATAGAGATGCGCCATCAACCTAGCGCGCTCATGATATTCCTTGCCGCAACTCAAGCAAAAAGACCCTCCCGCCAAAAACCGAACTTTTGGACGATAGGCATGTGCGTGTTCCGAGTGCATAAACAACCCTCGTTTGGTGGAGAAAAACCGCTGACACTGCTCGCAGCAATAGACTTGCGCAGACTGCTCTTCAGCGGAATGCTTACGAAAACTAAGTCCTAAGTCATGCCATTGGTCGTGCATGCGCATGAGCCACTTCTTATGAGCAACCTGCCTCTGCTCAAATCGCAAGGCTGCCTTTGCTGCTCTGCGAATTCTTGTGGCCCAATCGTCACACTGCATGACAAAAGTCCTCCAATCTGCAAACGTGGCACCAAGGTCTGGCCACGTTCCATTCGGATGAAATTTTTTTCAACCAAAGGCAATCCTTCAAAATCAAAGCTTTCCATGCCGTTCGAGAATCATTGGCTTCAACCACTTGCCAAAACAATTCTGGCATGTGTCGCACTGCTCGCTGCAAATATCTCAACCTGTCCCCAGAAACTTGGACAGCTGGGTCGAGCATAGAGGCTAATGCGGCAACTTCTGCGGAAGAAAATCTGTGCGCATCGAAACCATTCATGGGCCCCCGAACAACCGACTTGATCATCTCTCGGAAAGCAGCCTGAAGTCTATGCACGTCCAAATCTTTCACGACGACCCAGACATGTACGTTGTACAAAAGCCTAGGCACAATCAAATTGCGAAAAATGTGGTTCTTGGTGCTCTAAGCTACCTGTTTCTGGGTCCATAATGATCGGATCATGGGCCCCCACGCTTTGCGTGCTGAGGCGATACGGAACTGAACATCCTTACTCGGCTTGGCATCGCACTGAAGGTGCGATCCTAAATGTTTGTAAGAACGAACCAGGCGAACATGCTCAACTCTGTGTTCTAACAAGATAGGGTGGGTGCCATCAGCCTGCATCCACAATTCCTGTTTCTTTTTCCGCGCCCCACGACCCTTAAGGACCAGCATGAGCTCAATTTTTTCTGCCTGGAAATTCACCTGCAATCCTCGAGTACGTGCCGAATCACAAAGTGCAGAGAGCACTACTGCGGCTGCAGCAATGAGTCTCTCATGCGACGCATGGAGGATGCCAAACGCTACATCGTCGAAAAAGGACACATCCAGGAACCCAGGCAAATCCTGTCCAAGGACTTCTTGCACCGGCTGCTCCAACAAGTCAGCGCAACCCCAATTGCTGACCCGCTGACGAACTTCGGCTAAGACCTTCTGCATGATAATGTTGAAGCAGATGTCTCCTATTGGGTCTCCTGGCCTTGTTCCCCGACTGGTCAGAGCCAGGGACTTGAGCCCCTTCATGGAGAAATGAGCATTCTTGAATGCATCTTGCGCCCAATTCTGCACTAATTGGCTTTGACCCTGTAAGGCATAGTCCAGCTGGGCTTGCTTTTCCCACTCATCGAGCTCCTGTGGTGAGATGCCTTGCCTCGCCAGGAACATACAGAGGTATTCATCGTGCAGGGGCTGTCCAAACAATCCCTGGCGAATAACACTGTAAAAGGCTGCATGCAAGTCTAAAAAGACAAAGGCGGCCGAAACGGCGGCGTACTCAGAGAGGCTCAATAACGACTGCAGCATATAATGCCCCATGTCTGTGCCGCACCCTTTACGACCCCCGAAGCATGCCTTACTGGCGACTTTCTCATAGGTGGCATACAGTCTATCACGTAACAAATTGTGATGCAATTTGGCGATGGAATCAAAAAGAAAGATCGATCTATAGTTGTCGGGGTTGGAGATCGCACCTTTCTTGTAGAGGGGAACAGCTCGACCAGCTTTCCATTGAAGCGGTTCGCGCCCAGCGCAGACCGCCTTGACCAGCAGTTCGTGCAACATGGCACACATTTGATCTCCTCCAGCACGAAGAATTTCATTGCTCAGCTGGTCAGGTCCTGTGGCCTTGCCCTTTATCCTCCATAGCCTATTATAAATCAAATCTTTCCATTATTATATATCAAACCGTATTATATATCCCACGCTCGCGAAAATTTCACGTATAAGCATCGACGGATGTAAGTGTAAAGCCATCCGCATTCCGAATTTCGATTTTCAAATCTCCAATCTCGGTGTTCGAAACTAAAAATTAGAATCTCGAAGCCCAAAAATTTGAATCTCAAATCTTAAAATTGGAATCCCGAATCTCGGTTCCCGATGCTCGGATCTTAAATCTCGAATTCCGAAATTCGTATCTCGAATTTCGATTCTCGGATCTCGCGTCTCGCATCTTACATCTCAAATCCCAAATCTCGGATCTAAAAACTCGGATCTCGACACCCAAGGCTCCTGTCGAAGCTCACATCTCGTATCTAAATGCCGATTCTCGGATCTCAACTCCCGAGGTTCGGGTCTCGGATCTCAAATCTATAATTTAGCACCTCGAATCTCGAATTTCGCATCTCGAACCTCGGGTCTCGGAATTCCGAATCCGAAATTCGCATCTCGCATAATTTTCATCCCCGTACGAATTCAGGGGTTGAGGTTGTGTCAGGCATTTTGTAGCAAAAAAGTATTTTTGTCCTACAGAAAGGCCTGTCCGACATACAAAATTTTAGCTTGGTCATTACAAAATGAAGTGCATGACATCATTGTGTACAGGGCTTCAATGAGCTCTAGAAAATATGCTCACTACAAAATGAATGGACTCAACCTCAAATCGATATGTCTGTCGGAGACAATTTACAACTTTCCGAACAATCTCCGGCCATACGGAAGCTTTCCGTCAACTTTTGTTACAAAATTGCTATACCTCAGGTCTTTCTACTATGTGCTGTTCCAGTCCCGAAATGGCTCACAAATTACACAATGACATGCTTGTCCATACAGTGGAGCTCATAAAATTACAAAATGCATATACCTTAGGTCATGTTATAACGTCCTATTCCAATGCCTAAATTGCTCCCAGACTGCAAAATGTGATTCCTATGCATAAATAATTGCCTTCTACTACACAATCAAATAGCCTGGATCATTCTATAATCCTGCTCCAAGATAATATCGCTACAAACTAGCGGCCTCAACATCTTTTTGTAAGCCCCTAATAAACCCATTATCCCAGATTCTTACTTATAAATCCTTACAAAATGGTAGCCTCAACCTCATATCACATCAATCACACAATGAGTTAGACATGTATTACCCGATTTCAAGGCTAGGCACTACAAAATAACCCCTCATATAGGGCCAAGGCCCTACATTTTGGAATAGTTATTCGCACGGGAATTAATTTTCAAATATCGGAGCATAATAATTATCCAAAAAAATAAAACATTTTTTTAAATGTTTTTCTTTATTTAAAAAATCAATAAATACCCCCAATAATCTATTAATTAAGGCGAAGAACCATAATAAATCGTAATAATAAAACAAAATTTCGTATAATTTGCAAAATATTAAGCATCGTAAAAAATATTATAAGCATTAAATTTGGTTTTAAAAAAATCAATAAATATGCAAATAATCCGCCAAAATCAAGAATCCTAACAACAAAACGAAATTTCCAAAATAATTCAATTGAATCGATAATCGAATAAATCGTACGGAAACGAGAATCCAAAAATAATCCATTATTTTTAAACATCGCAAATTTTAAAAAAAATCCAAAAATAATCGAATTATTTCGAACATTTTCCACTAACCTAAAACCAAACCCCAAATATAAAACCGCCACAAAACAAAATATATTCGTTTCAAATTTCAATAACATATATTTACAATTTTCAATTCCATCGAACTACGCGCATATTAATAACCCTATTATATATTAATAACCCTATCATTCCCAATCCTTTCTTTCCCTATATAAATATTCAAATAATATACATTTTAGCATTCTTTTTCCAATATATAAAACCTCCATCTATATAAAATAAAAATCTAATATATCAAACCCTACAATACCATAAATATTTAAAATAAAACAATAAAAAAATATATAGGCCAAGAAAACCAAATCAAATTTTTCCATTCCTACGTATCCAAATGGTTTACACGATATTAATTAATATTTTAATAATTAGTATTTATATAAAATAATTATCCCCCCAGGGACTCGAACTCCACGTTTTATGATATTTATTCCAACCCGGATTATAGTATATATTTATTTTATATAAATATGTTTCAATTTGTTACAGTATATCTGTTTAATTCCATTTTAGATCTAGTTTTGATCTAATTTATTTATTTCCTTTGGCTTTGCGTTCCTGGCAAATTGTGAAAGAATCAATTTAATATCTTTCTATTCCTTTATATCGCCTCCGAGATCCGCTTGGCTTCTTCGTCCTGCTCCTTGCGCACACAAGCATTGAACCTGCAAAAGCCAAGGTAGAAGTCATATTCAGTTATATGTGTTGCCTAAACAAAATTGAAAGATCAACAATTCTTCCATGTGCTTCGAAGACCCGCTCTGCCTGCTTTGTCGTACCCGATCTACCTCTCCAGGCTCCAGGGGGTCTGTTGCATAGACCTCTGAGATTGACAAGCCAAGCAAAACCAGAAGACTTCAGAGAAGTTTCAGAAGCTCGCGCTATACTTTTCATATCTATTCTCGAGAATTGTCATCCAATGTTATTTGCTGCCCCAGGCCTCTGCATAGCAGGTGTTCGATACACACTTGCTGACGCAGTCATCATTCTCATCTGCATGAAACCTCACAAGGAAACATCATGTTCATCTGCATGAAACCTTACAAGGAAAATGGGCCTACCGGCAAAGGTTGCTTGCTTGCAAGAGCACAGCGACTTGAACATAAGGCAATGTCAGACAATGAAAGAAAGCTACCCGTGCATTCTAGGCTAAATGGCCACGCCCGCACACATTCTGGCCCATGACCCATGCGCCCCCTATCTTGTGAGCGTCGTGTGTGCGTGTGTGTATGTGCATCTATCTCGGTCTGTGCGTGTTGGGGGATGTTTTCAGGTCTCATTCCCACAGGCTAGGGAATCCAAAGCACATGTCGTATGGTCGTGCAATTGTATGTGGAAGCTTCTTCTCGTACACGTGCCGTACAGTAACGGTGCCCACCACCTGCGCCAGGGCAAAGGTATTTACGATCCTGTTTGATGCTCTGGTTCGTTCGATTTAGTTCTGCAAAATCAAGCTGCTTCCACGTGACCTTGTCATGGAATAGTTATAATCTAATATGATTGCTGTCATTCTAGGCTCTCAACATCTCTCAACAATTATGAAAATGACAAATTTAAAAGAGGAAAGTCATCCATCCAAAACAGCACTAGCATTTGAAGAAAAGCCAGCGTCATTTCGTGATCCTGCAAGGATTTCGACATTGCCGCCAAAGATACCCAGCACAAGGACCTCGAGAGCATTCACCTTCCTTTTTCCAATGCACCTAGCCCCAGTCCCACTCATTCAATCGGCACGATATTGGTGAGCAAATCATCTCAGCTACCAGCTACCATTTACAGTTCGATTGCGCATGCTTATCAGAAAATGAACGAACAGTGTTCAGGGTGAAATCTCACATTGGGTTGCATACATCAACGTCCACTTCACAAAGCGAGCACATCAAGCTGTTGCACTTAGAGTCACATCGGTTTACGTTTGTGAATGCACAACTCTCAAATCTCTCAAACCCGCACCTTGGAGGTGTGTTGGGGATATTTTTTGGGTTTGGCATCGGCAAGTGCCGTTGCCTGAGTGAAGATGCAGGGCTCTCACGTGTGACACATGAATCCCCAGAAGTGCAAATGCAACAAGTGTAGCATCACAATGTTTTTGCACGGCGCAAGGGTGTGACTCATTGTCAACAGGCATGAGGCTAGTTGTCCTATCTTCGATGTAACATCAACTCCCAAGGTGGTGGACATCAGACCCAAAATGGATTTCCAAGAGCTGCTGGCTTCAAGTGCAGGCCCCGGGCCAAAAGCAGGACAATCATCGCACGCAACATCGTCATGGAGACCTCAGCTCCAAAACTGGACGGACAATATAGATGGTATCATTCAGAAAATCGGCAATCGTGCGCTCATTTGGTTTTGGCCTGTTTTGTGGCATCCAAGCTCTTGGCCTGCTTTCGATGCATTGCCACCTTGAGTGGCTTAGACCTTCAGTGAGAAATGGATCTGGATCAGGAGATGTTTTCCCGTCCACTACTTTTGCACATCCTCTCTTTTTCTCTCTCTTTGTTATTTTCCTCTTGTTTCTTTCTCACTCTATGGCTCTCCCTCTCTCTCTCTCTCTCCCTCTCACTCTGTCACCCTCTCACTCTCTTCTTCTTTCTCGTTCTCACGTTCTCTTACCGTCTGTCCTGCAGATCGCAATTGCATCTTATGTGTCGTCGTTTTTTGAGATTCAACAGCTGTGGCTCCTTGGTCTATGCATGTGGAATAGCTGATGCTCACACTCATGCTGGACCCCACGTGCACCCACCCCGCGCACCAGCCCGCCGCTAACAAACAGTATGTTTTTGGAAGTAACTAGCTGCCGGACTGCACAAGCTGACGAAAAAAACCAACTACCCATCCTACCTACTTATTGATGGACCAACTAACAAGCAAGCCCAGCTCCACTTCACATTGCTCGTCCAAACGCTGCCTGCGCATGTTCTGTTGGATACTTTGATATATTTCGTGATACGTCTAGTCTTGTATTTCCCACCTGTCGGGTGAGGGTTGTTAGATTGGATGTCAGCTGTCGCCGTCCTCCTCCTCCTCCTCCTCCTTCTCGTCCTCCGCATCGTCCTCAACCACGAGCCTCGGCTGGCAGCGTTCCCCGCCGGACCTCAACCACGAGGGTCGCGTGGCAGTGTTCCCCGCCGGACCTCAACTGCGAGGGTCGCGAGGCAGTGTCCCCCGCCGGACCTCAACTGCGAGGGTCGCATGGCAGTGTTCCCGCCGGACCTCAACTGCGAGGGTCGCATGGCAGTGTTCCTGCCCGACCTCAACCGCCAGCTCCCGAGCGCACTGGGCGCTGCCGGACCTCAACCAACACTCACAAACGCCAACACAAACACACAATCACAAACACACAACCACAAACACAAACACACAATTACAAACACTCAACCACAAACACATCCACAAACACAAATACAAACGCACAATGAAAAACGCACAATCACAACCAAAACCACAACACACAACCACAGAGACACATCCACAGCACACAACCGCAACACACAACCACAGCACACAACCCGAGAACCCATATGCAAAATCGAGAACCACAAAACTCAGGACCACGGCAACATACTCCTCACCATGGCATGAAAACAAAATGATTGAAGCGTCATGGTGGGGATCACTCGAAGTAAAGTAGTTGTGTTCTTCCTGTCCCGGTTCTCAGCCAGAGACGACGACAAGTTCCATCAACATCCAACAAGCCTACTCAATCGAGGCAGTGAGTTTCACAGGGCAGTTTCACAGGGCGCCTTCTGAGCACCGGGCTCCGTAGACTGGCCGCTCAGGCGGTCTCTCGAGATAGGTCTGTTGGTCTTCCATCAAGTCGTTGATCAAGACAGTTCTGTTGCTCCTCTCAAGTTGGTCGTGTTGCTTAGGCTGCTAGCAGGAGCGTGACATGTTGTCAAGTGTTGTCATCCTCAAGACACGACGTCTACTTGACAAATTGAGAATGTAACGTCCGAATAGGTTTCTGTGGGCAGACAGAAACTCCACAAGTGTCCCTCCACTTTTAATGTTCGCTCATGTGGAGAAGTCGTGCTGAGGTGGATCGATTGCAGCTAAGCCCTTTTTGAGCCGTCTTGCTTGTTTGAGCCTAAAGGCTGAACACGCAGGTCCCACGCAGGTCCCTGAGAGGAATTTCACTCAAAGGCCGCAACGAGCGCAAGTTCATGAGCAATGTCCACTGCGAGTCCTGATTGCTGAGGAACTAGAGACAAACTCAACTGCTGAATTTCTACGACAAGCAGAACGACAAGCAGAACGGCAGTCAGCACCCTTTCTTCCTAACTCTACAGCAAATCTAGTCTCTCTCGCATAGTCCAATTGTAGGAGTTGCGATATGCCTGTGTGCCAGCAACAGGTGCGATGGGATTCCGGGACATAGGTTAGACAGACTGAGTGATTTAAATATAAACTTGAAAGTCATACGTCATTCCGCTAAAACCCAACAGGAAGTTTTCAACAACTCAACAAAGCAATGCACATCCAAAGCCAGAAACTGATTGGCTCGATGAGGGGATTGCTTGAACATATTGGAATCTCAAATAGAAGGAACAAACACAAACCTCACCAAGAAAGACACTGAAGGCGCAACGAAGAAGGGTCCAAGAAACATGGAGTATCAAAAATACATTGACCAACGTTAACAAATTCGGACAACTCACCCGAGGCCCTCGCAATGCGGTCGACGTCTCCCAGAATGGGGGAGAGGGCGTTGGCCCATCGTTTGTCGTACCTGTCACTCGCTACTCACAAAATCCTTGGAAACAAGTGAATGCAATGTAAATAAACCCAATTTGTTCGTTTTCCAATCAGCTGCTGAGAAAAAGGACGAAATAGCTCATGCGCAGCCGCTGTCACATCGCGCAAATCATTGGAAGGGGAAATGCACTTGTGGACTGGATGTGAACTGTACACAGTGAGCTGCAGAAACGGAAAAGTGCAAAACTAAGGAAAAATTGCCAAAAAAACTGCCCAACACTTCCTTTGTGAGAAATTGGGGTTGGCAACAAACGCTTCTCCCACCCGTCTGTAGGTGATCCAGGTGCATCTTGCCGAAAGCGGTACAGAACCTGAACAAGACTCTGCTGGAACTTCATGCGCGACGGGCCAAGCACACTTGGGAAACTGGATGACAAACAGTAAAAAATGGAGAAACCATATATGGTTTTTTCATCCTCAATATCACTTGGCGCAAATTCAAAGTCACCTTTCAGGCCCCCAGCTTTGACGCTCCGCCGGGTAGGTAAGGATGTCTGGTGTTGTTTGTAAGAGCAACTCAGTGTTGTCACCGTGAAACAAACACGACACTGCATGTATAAGGACCCAACAAAACTATGGCAATGCCACGAAGGTTTGGCCCGAAACTATTCATTGCTCATTTAGGCTTCGATTGCACCCAGAAACGGTAGACACTATAGACTTCACTCCAAACAGGCCAAAAAATCACATCTCGTCATTGCCAGAGTGGATGTGCACATGACACGCCATTTTGTCCGTCGAAATCTCAAAGTTAAAATTTGAAAGCGCAAGTCTTCTGTTGAACCAGGATACACACACCAGTTGCAACTGTCTGGACTTTCTCACAAGTGCGAGGTTCCTTCAAGTTAGCATTGTAGCCACATGCAAAACCCTCGACCTGTACCAAGTACCCAGACAACTGTATATAGTTATATTTTTGCATGCTCTTTTCAAGGCAACAACGTGCTCAGCCAAGGGGGGCCGAAGGTCAAGTGACGTGAGATCAGAGCAAGGCTCTCTAAAGCTTCTTGTTCGACACAACCTGATCATGCGCAATCCGGCCTTTAGCCTGGCATCGTGCACACTCTGCCGCGTCGCCCAAAAGGCGCTTGGAAGCGGGCGCGCGTTTACTTTGGGAATGCTTCATTTTTCATGATTTTTCAAAAACTTTGGAATAGAGCAGGTTTCTTATCAGCACCTAGCTAATTACAGCGATTTCGTGTCCTTAGCCGAGACACAGGTGTCGTAGCTGGCCAAGTACATTGGAATAGTGCAGGTGTTATATGAATTGCTAGCTGATGAAACTATTTGGGAGCTGTCGTAGCTGGCAAAATACATGGGAATAGTGTAGGTGTCAGAGAAAGTCATACGTTAGCAGAGAAACAGTAGAGAAAGAGAACCAGCACAGGAGGCATATATGATTGGTTAGAAGTTTATGCCCCGCGGAGTTCACCTTAAAATATTGATTTCATGGCAGGCGCGGGTGTCGGAGATGAAGTGCAGATCTCGTGGCGCGGGGGGGGGGGGGGGGGGGGCGCAGCGCCGCACACCAGATCCAAAGGTTAGAAAGCAAACAGATGGAAAAGCAAAAACAAAAAGAGAAAGGAGAACAGCTGCCAAAGCAGAAAAGCAACAAAAGCAAAGAGCAGAAAGACAAAAACACAAAAAGCAGAAGAGCAGCAGAAGCAGAAAAGCAGCAAAAGCAGAAAAGCAGCAGAAGCAGAAAAGCAACAAAAGCAAGAAAGCAGCAGAAGCAGAAACGCAGCAAAAGCAGAATCCGAAAAATAAATACAAAACAATGAAAAAACACGAAAAAAAAACGCCCCTCCCTTGGAAGCCGTGGCTGGATTCATCTCCACTCAAAGAATCAATCTCACGGCCGAACAGAAGGACCAGCTGCAGGGTTCAGGCGACGTTAAAGAGACCGACTGAGGAGGCCTTGTGGGTAACCTCCTCTTGCACCTCGCTGATGAAGCCGATTGAAGCCTCTAATGGAGAAAATGTTGCGTGGGGTTGCTTTAGTGATCCTTTCCAAGATCCTATTGCTCAATGGTCTACTCAGCTTGATTGTAGGGATGCATCCAATGAGGCTGAGCCTTTCTCTCGCTTTCCTCTAGGCTCAAAAATGGAATAAGGCGGCTCCGCTTTGGACTGGATCATCTGTTTGAGAAGCTCCTGAAAGGTTTTCTTGGTGGCATCAATATGAGTGCTTCCGGTGTGAGAGATTGTTGAGAGCCGGGACCTGCTGCTTGAGACGTGCAGCCACCTCTTTCTCAGATTCTGGCTGTGGCTTGGTGATCTTCTCCACCGGACTTGGACAGGTTCCAGGTGAGATGACAACCTCAGTGACCTTCTGCTTTGAGTCATCCAGGGTGTCCGCCGGAGCTAAGATCTCCGCAGCCGTCTTCTGCAGCTTTGATGGCTTTGGGTCTCTGCTTGAACCAAGGCCTGGAGGAGGAGGCGGTGCTTTGGGTCGGTCCCGTCGTCGAGAGAGCTTCGCCATAGGAACTTTGACAGCAAAAACCTGTCTGTGGCTTCTTCCATGCCTGGCCACACTTCCTGCACGCGTATCTTGTTGGACACGATCTTCCCAAATCATCCAGTTGTGGCAACCTGGATGGGGTCATGTCTAGGAGGTTCTACCCCAGCTCGACATGACTCA